AAGCAGTGGTATCAACGCAGAGTACTGGATGCGTAAGTCAAAAGTATCTACACCACTAGGCACTCATCGGATGCTGCAGCATAATGGTACAGAATTTGATATTACAGTGTCAATTCTGTCGCGAGAAGCAGAGGTCGCGGGGCGCAAGACGCTAGAAGCCTGTTGGATTTTGTCTAGAAATCCTCAAATGAACAGGAAAGATGAATGCACTGCAATAACTAACGAACTCGCGCCCTTCCTGGAGTTATGCGGGTTTGACCCACAACCGCATCAACCCGGGAACCTAGCTCACTAATCATTCATACGTTCGTCAGTGGTGGTCCGTGACCCGCACTCGGCAAAGTCTCAGGTGGGGCTGTTAATCCTAGGCAGCATCGTTTCCGTTTCCAGCCAACTTTTGTCTGTTCCTTGCATTTGATGAGACGTTTGGGAGGATAAATCTCATTTGTTCCTCACTTACAGGCTCCGACGAAGGCGAGTTGGCCGAAACGTCAGCCGAAATAAAAGTTGTAACAATCTTGGTGGAGGCTTAACATCTCGAAACAAACATATCGTAATGCCAAGATTCACTGAAAGTCGAACGTGGAGAATTGTTGAGAAATATCAGTTTTAGTACAGGGTGTGAACCAATTTTAAAAAAAGGCAATTTTGAAAATTCAAAAAATCGAAGAGGTTTGCAATAACTTTCTCTGACACTTCCCAGGATTGCTTACTTCACTGCGTATCAATATAGATACCAAATATGTGAAAATTTATAAGCAATCGCTATCAGCTCTTGCATTTACAAGCATGTTGGCAAATCAAAACTCAAAATTTGTTGCTTTTTTTCATTGCCAGTTTAGTCGCCAAATTTTAAAAATGGAATTTTAACAATTTCAAAAGTGAGGTTTGCAATCACTTTCTCTGATACTTGGCACGATTATTTGCCCCATAATGCATAAACATAACGCTCAAAAACGCAGAAACTAAATATGTGAAAATTCATAAGCAAATCGCTATCAGTTCTTGCATTTACAAGCGTATTGGCAAAGCTACCAGAAAACAAAATTTGTTGCTACTTCCCATTGCCATTCAGTCAGTTTCAGTGTTCATAAATTTTGCATGCTGGGCTTAGACTAAACAGCTGTGCAAGTTTGAGGTTTACTGCTCATTCGATTCGTGAAAGATCTTTTAGCACTCTGTGCCGCATTAGTCATTCTTTCTACAAATTCACAAATTTCTATCTCAATTTAATTCGAATATTCAATTTGTGCCCGCTGAGCGTTCTATACAGCCCATGATAATCCCCTTATGTCTTTCCTTTTTGAATTTTGTCAGAATGTTTGGAATCCAAAAAATCTCTACATTGCGTTGGCTTATTCCTCCTATAATACTTTTGGATTGATCAAAGTGACGCTTATGTACACTCGTACTGTACTTTTTGTGGCTGTGCAAATATAGACGGTTCATAAACCCTTTTACTATTCTATGAAAATGCGGTTGTCATTTTTATTATGTGATTTGTTTCCTTTCTCATAGCTAAAACATTTCTATGTTCTACTTTTGTATGTATCTGGCTTGTAAAGTAATTATTGTTGGTACGTAAAGAGAGATTCGACATTATGATGTTTGTAACTGATTTTAGTCCTCAAAAATATAATGGCGCGGCACTCTAAATATTTTTTTGTTGTTGAATTTAACGCGTAAATTTACGTAGTCTTTACTTGCATTGAAACATCGACTTTATATTGATATTGATTTCGATATTGATTTCGTGCTGAAGGTTTGATCAATAGAAGCATTTTCAAACCTTTAAAAATCAGATCTTGTATATAATAACAGATGAATCCGCTGCCTATGTATCAAAGTGTTACTTTGGAAAAAATTCGCCTCTACAACCCGGACAGAAGTAAATCGCCGTGCTTTGCTGTATTTGCTTAGTGACAATCGTTCACCTCTGTGTGGTGTTGTACTTTAATGGAAATCTTCTTTGAAAATCTCGCTGCACTTTTGTCCTTGGGATCATACGCCTTTGCAAAAAAAACATTGTTTGCTCTTCTTGCTCCCTCACTCCTTTGTGTAAATATTGATCGGACGTTGTCTTGAAAAGACATTGCTTGGTGTGAAGAAATTTCACGTTTTCTAGATTGATCTATGTCTATCGAGGAGGACAATTATGATTATCTATTCAAAGGTGAGAAAAACTTATAATTCTGAATTTTCATGCCTCTTCTGCATTGTTGATATTTAAGTTGTTCTCATTGGCGATTCCGGAGTCGGCAAATCGAACTTGCTCTCACGATTCGCTCGAAATTCATTCAATTTGGAATCGAAAACCACTATTGGAGTCGAGTTTGCAACAAGGACAGTTGAGGTTTGTTGTGATAATGTTTGCACCACAGTCGCAATCATCAGTTTTTGTTGACTTGATTGATGAATAGCTTTCATCTTCACAGCACTTTCGCCGCTCTTCGTCCAGAGAAAAAAAAAGCATGCAAAACCAGGAACTGATTCACTTCATTTTTTTCTTTGATCATTTACATCTTCTATTGCTAGGGAATTTAAGCAACTTACCATCACACATTTATTTATTTATTTATGACTACACTTGAAGTGTACCGAAAAAAAAAGGAACTGAGAAAGTGATACTAGCTGTTCTCTAAAGTCAGGATAAATATGATAAGGAAAAGCAGAAAATGAAAATAAAACATTGCAAGGTCACCTCAACTTTTAGCCCTTTTATGAAGCAAAGTCTTTTGGATTGAGCTTTAGAAAAATAAGCAAGCATAGAAAAGAGAAGCTTGCATTTTTTTAATTTCTATTGAAAAACTGCGAAACTGTAGCAAATGTGACACTGTAAATGTATTCTAACAAGAAAGTTTTTTTTTAGAAATAAAGCGAAGCGCAGGATAAAATAATGAATCTATTCCTCCGAGGTGAACTAACCACCAATGTGAAGAAACACAATTTCTTTGATCTACATGATTTTTTGCAAACTGTGTGCTTTTGTTCAACTCATTGCTGCGACCTAGGCACCAAAAAATTTGGCAACTCAAAATTGCCTGTATATTAAAGCTAGTTTAAAATTTCTAAATTGTTAAATATGGAGATTGCTTTTGCAAGTATGTCTCTTTTGGCTGAGTCCGCTTGGGTCCTTTGATTTCCCATTTTGCTGTATAAAGAGCCGATATTCCAACAGATAAAGAGCCAACTTTGTCACTCCTAATCTCACCAAAAAGTAGAAGTGTTTACCGTGGGGGCAATCTATCTACACCAAGAATTTTCAAGGGCCACTTATCGCTACAAAAAGCTTTGCCACTTTCGTGATTGAAGACTGAGAGGCCATTCCATGTTTTCCCTTGAAATGTAAGGTCTGAGCGTCAAAATTTGTAATTTCCACAGCTGTGAAAAAAATGTCGGTGCATTTCCAAGGCTGAGTTTGGTTTAGAATAAACTCTGCACAGGCTACGATTGTATCTCATAACTGCAGATTGACGGTAAATTGATAAAAGCTCAAATATGGGACACTGCTGGTCAAGAACGATATCGTGCCATCACCTCCGCCTACTACAGAGGAGCAGTAGGAGCGCTCCTAGTATATGACATATGTATGTAAGTTCACAAACTTTTGTAGAAGAATTCATGTGCTGACTGAGGTTCTAATTATATACTAGTTTTCAGCTAAACAAAATACGTTGGATTCCTGTGAACGATGGCTACGTGAATTACGGGAGTACTCTAATGAAAGTGTTTCGGTAATGCTGGTTGGGAACAAACTCGATTTGCGACACTTCCGCGCCGTTCCGACAGAAGTGGCATTGAAGTATGCAGAAAAGAACAATCTATCCTTCATAGGTACGACTAGAATTTTATTTCTCATATATATGTAGAAATTTGTTGCAAAATGCAAAAAAAAACAATCGTAAGTGAATGGAATTTAGCAATACTTAGTACGATCAGTTTTGGAATATTTAAAATTGCGGGGGTAATTTGAGAGCCTAAAGTAATCAAGAAGTCGTCTTGAGAGGAAGCTTACGATATTATGATAAGAGCTCATTTTGACGGCCCTTATCAGTATCATTTTTACCTTAGTTTTTTTTGATTACGGCAAATATTTTAAGCTTTCAGTTCAGTTTTGTAGTAAAACTAGTATAACTTGACTGTAGGGCAAGGTCTGTATAAAAGGATATGTTCGTGGACACATTAGGTCAAAGTTGTTTCCGTTTATTCAACTATTTATAGGAACACACGGAATAAAGATAGGCAAGCTCCAGAAAAAAACGTCAGGAAACCACACACAGCCTCTTTTTCTCTAATAATTGGGGTTTTGAATCGATCTTTTGTAATAATCGCCGAAAATTGAGCCTTGGTTTTTAACATTGACTTTCGCAGGTTTTCAGGAGTTTTACTCCAAACTTACTAGAAAGCTTTGTCAACCAGTGAAAAGAGCAAACAAAGTGCGCCACTTTGCATTTCTTGAGCATCTCTAGCTGAGTTCAAAAAATTCCTAAAATCGATTTTGAGACCACCACTTAATATTCGGTCAATTTAAACCAAATACAACATAGACTGTGGATCAAATCGGATGTCATCCGATGCAGCTTTTTCTCCTCTTATTTCCAGGCGTTTTTCGATTTGTTAAATATTTAGAAATGCAGTCATTATATTTAGTGTTTTCAAAGGCTTCCCAAACTCGCTCATTGTGTCAAAATTAGCGTTATAACATGATCGAGTTTTTGAAGTCTCAAATCACAAAAATTCCAGTGTTCGATGCATCCATTCATGACAGGACTTCTCAATTATGAAACTTCCAAATGTTTTTGAGAATACTAAAAAGCCAGCTGGAACAGGGCCTGGCAACAGCTGGCACGGGTCAAGCTAGATCTTTTTTTGGGACAAAAAGCAAAGGGGATATCGTTTTTGCGAAAGAAAAGACACAAAAATTGTGACATTTTCTTAATCGACGTTTCGTTTTTTTTAGGGTTTTGTTTACGTTTAGGGTTTAGGGTCAAAGGGGACTTCTTACGAAATTTTTCATAATCCATGGGGACTTCGTTTTGAAAATTACTTGGTGCTAGCTCGTGCCAACGCTGAGTTGGAAATGTCCCAAGAATCCAATGTATTGCACTTTGTTTACTCCATCCATCTACAAACCCCTGCCATAGGTTGAGAATGAAATTTTTCAATATATTGAAGTTGAACATGTAAAAAAAACTTCAGCGATTACCTCAGGGAAGTCGAAAGTGGATAGTTTAGAAACACTCTGCTGAAAAGTGAAAGAAAAGTTGCGTCGAATAATTCTAATTCGTTTGGTTTACTTATTTTATTCCATGTGGGACTAGTCGAAAAACGACAAAAACTTTCCTGTTAGACCTATTACACCATTTGATATGAATGCTTGTAGTAGTTATGTATACTCAATAAAAGCAGATGTTTCAATATTATACAGCTACGCAGTGATCTATCCTTTTTTGTCCAGCTGCCCTTTGAGCAAGAGTAGAATGCATCCCATTTTTTTCAACAAATTTCTTTTATTGTAAATTTCTGTCTATAAATCTCTCTTCATAAAGCTAAGACAAACTGTGTTAGCACGAGTTTCACATAAAGTGCAGGTATAAACCTTTTCAGTTTTAAGAGAGCATTTTTTGCGAAAGTATGTCAAACATCTATGACTCTGGTTATTTCAGAGACGTCAGCGTTGGACAGCACAAATGTCAACGAAGCATTCACAGCGATTCTGACTCACATTTACAAGACCGTGGCGAGCCGACATGTGAGCATTCCTTACGACGCGGGATCGAAAGCAGATTTGACAAAACCAAAACCTGAGAAAAAATGCTGTCCAATAAATTAACTATATTTGTGTTGCTTATCACATGTCTTAAAAACTGCAGATTTACATTTACCGTAATAAAACGACCTTGCAGTATAAAATGGCGGTAATGCACGCGAGCTGCCAAAGTGTGGAGGAAAGCAGGAATGGGGGGAGGGAAGTCGGAAAAATGAACTCGGAATTGAGTTGTAACTAACTTACAATCTTGTAAACTATGCTAGCAAATCATAAATTGATTTGACGATTTTTCTCCTAATTTCAGTTACTTCAGTTCTTTTGATTTACGAACGCTTTTTGCAGCATCTTGCAACTGACGGAAGCACGGAGTGAAAGGTAGCCGGGTAAACTTAAGTGTCTGAACTTCTTTTGTGGATACTGGCAGTAACGCACTCAAGTTTGAGGTTGATGAGATGCGATACAATATTGAGACCCACAATCAATTGATGCTTAGGCTCCACTGCGAAAATCACATCCGAATTAAGAAATTTGCTTCAGATATATGCGGCAGTGACAGCCCTGCTTGTGAAAATTTTGGCAAAAAAAAGGTCAAAAAAGAAAGTCGGGGAGAAGTCGAAAAATCTTCAGTTTTGTATGAATAAGAATTTTTGACATCTTCGACGATTTGGAGCATCGGCACACTGTTGCATCCAGCTCTTGAAGGGTTACTTTCTGTTGAATTCATTTTTTGCATCGGACCTCTGCATCTTATAGTTATTGAAGCATAGGAAAGGACTTACCACAACTTAAGTGAATGAATCACTGCTCAAAGACAGCTCATGCAATTGTAGCCGTAAATTCCAGCAACTCTTCTAGAATTTTTTTTTTCGAGCGAGGTTTGAGGAAAAATTTTTTTTGTAAGGTTATTCAATCACATTCACTCAAGAAACTCGGACAAACCTTAACAACATATATAATAGAACAGGTTCAAGGGCTCTCCTTCCTTACTGAGGAGTTCCTGGGAGAGCCCGGAGTTCCTGCACTCCGTCTAAAGGCAGGGACGAAACGGAGTTAAAGATTTACATACAAAATTTACATATAAAGATGGATTCTAATATTAGAGTACCAGACTTTGAAAATAACTATCTCTATTTTTATCACTACTACTACTATTAACAGCATCGTTTCATTCGCACATGTATCGTGATAACACATAATGAGAGCTGTCTATTGCAAACTTATAATTGACCTCCTAGGCTGTATTTTTGAGTATCGATTGTTGAATTAGCTTCAAAAAATTCTATTCTAAGTGTAAATGGATTGCATAGTACACGAAGCTTTCCCTCTTAAGGAAATACAAGAACATAGCTTCAAGGCCAATAGCGAACTGTTGTGTCTTTCAAGCTTGGACACCCTTCGTCGTCTTCGTCTTTTGCACGGCACAGGAACAGAAAAGAAAATTTATTAGAGAATAATAGAACAGTAAAAATATGAGAGGCGAATGAGTGAACAATTGAACTTACTAAGGCTATGAGTGAGCGCCTTTTATAGCGCTCTTTTAATGCGCACTCTGAGGTTGCGATCGACTACGCGAGGCAGATCACTATGAGGGAAAACTGATCATTTACAATCAACGTGAACAAAGTCCTCCATATGTCCCTCCAGCCGAAATCTCGGTTAGTACGTGTGCCCTCACTCTTTTGAGGGGAGATCTGATTCTTTCTTGGCCGTCATCTTGAAGGCAGCGTCAGGGGCAGATTTTCGACTTTTTGCCTTATCCAGGCGCGCTCATGATTTCGATTCAAAATATAACAGTTGAGAACGTGAATCCTAAAGAAAATTTTTTCTGCGGCTATTTTGTGAAAACCATAGATGGGTGCCCTTGGCGCTATCCTCGTTGGAAGCCCGCATTAACAGGCATTTTTGTCTTCGAAGTGATTGCCGTGTGAAAACACATCAAGATCTGAACAATTCTGTTATAACGGGAGTGTGCATGATTCAAACGGACCTAAAGGTTTTTTGCCTATTTTTTTTCTTTTAGATTCAGGCTTTAAAAGTCGACTTTGCACAGTTTTTGTACATCGATGCCCTAGGACTCGATTACGACATTAATTAAGAAGGTTCAAATATGCGTGAAGGACTGCTCAAGAGTCATTGTGGCAGGTGTGTAAAATCGTTAACCTTGTTAACCTCTAAAAGTTAAGTAATCTTGGGCTTTTGACAAGCTTTGCCAACAGATATCTGAACTGTTATAGATGAAAGCTCATATAAATTAACGCCATCAAATTGCTATGTGCTGCTAAGCTTTCGAATAAAAAACAGAAGAAGTGAACAGCTGATCTAATTTGACCGTGCCTTGGATAATTGCTGATGGGCTTTGCATAGTAAATAACATTTCTATGCCTCAAAATCGAATGGACGGTTTCTTAGTATCGCGCAGCAAAGTATTCCAAACGAGTTGCCGAGGACAGTACTGGCCTAAACAGTGGTCAGACAGCCGATACGTGTCTAGCTAAATACTTCAGCTGATTACCTCGAAATTTTCAAGGTTGGCTTCACATACAGTGACCGCCAAAAAGTTGCTTACAAGCCGCTTTCCTTTTTTCATCGCTCATTTTCGGATGGGAAACAAAGATGAAAAAATGTTTGGATTGCATGAGGTGATAGAGCTCTTCAAGAGCTACAACCCACACATTGTGCTTTCTGGAAAACATGCATTTTAAAAATTTTAAAAATGTTTTTGTAAGAAGAGTCCGAAAATGGCCGCGTCACAATGTCGCGGACAATAATTCTTCGAAAATTTCATTTTGATTCCTATTTTCAAGTGGAAACCCAAGTAATCCGAATAGGTAAACATACTACATTATAGAGCTCATCGAGGACAATAATCAGGTAGTGGTTATTTCCAAAAAACTCAATTGAATTTTATTTTGCTTTTTTTTCAACAAATAACTTCTAAATCCCTTTTTCAAGACAAATTTCTTCACATATAAACCTATTCAAGACATCCTAGCAAAGGTGTTCTACAAAAATGGATGCTTTTTGCCATCCTGTATGCATCGGACGTGTGTTGGTGAGTTTCTTTGCTGAAAATGGCTCTTGACAGTGCGTGCACATAACCCCACTTGCACCTCACCACTGCGTTGCACCGCTTTGCAGGCTTGTAGCTCGGCCGGCAGTCATTCTACGAGCCTGCAGGTAGGCTCATTCGAAAGAGCGCGACTTTTTCTACACGATGGTATGCAAATGAGTTCAGTTTCAGGAATAACAGAGATTTGGCGGATGGGGTGACAGAGCGCAGCCTTAGAGATGATTGGAAAGGCTCTTATCAACGCCAGAACAGTCTTAGAGCTCCGAAATGGATCTATTACATATGAATTAACGGTTCTGAACTTCCAGAATGGAGCTAGTAGCGAAAGAAGCTTTGCTCAACTTCTGCTGAAAAATCCTTACCATACCACAAAAGCTGCGCTCTATCACCCCATCCGCCAAATCTCTGTTATTCCTGAAAATGAACTCATTTGCATACGGTCGTGTAGAAAAAGTCGCGCTCTTTCGAATGAGCCTACCTGCAGGCTCGTAGAATGACTGCCGGCCGAGCTACAAGCCTGCAAAGCGGTGCAACGCAGTGGTGAGGTGCATGTGGGGTTATGTGCACGCACTGTCAAGAGCCATTTCAGCAAAGAAACTCACCAACACACGTCCGATGCACATAGGATGGCGAAGAGCATCCGTCTTATCCAAATAGCTTCGTTAGAATGTCTTGAATAGGTTATCATGTGAAGAAATTTGGCTTGAAAAACGGAATTAGAAGTTATTTTTTGAAAAGCAAAATAAAATTCAAGTTTGAGTTTTTTTGGAAATAACCACTACCTGATTATTGTCCTCGATGAGCTCTATAATGTAGTATGCTTACCTATTCGGATTACTTGGGTTTCCACTTGAAAATAGGAATCAAAATGAAATTTTCGAAGAATTATTGTCCGCGACATTGTGACGCGGCCATTTTCGGACTCTTCTTAGAAAAAGATTTTTAAAATTTTCAAAATGCATGTTTTCCAGAAAGCACAATGTGTGGGTTGTAGCTCGTGTAGAGCTCTATCACCTCATGCTATCCAAACATTTTTTCCTCTTGAAGAGCTCTATCACCTCATGCAATCCAAACATTTTTTCATCTTTGTTTTCCATCCGAAAATGAGCGATGAAAAAAGGAAGGCGGCTTATCCGCAACTTTTTGGCGGTCACTGTACATGTACGAATAATCCCCCAAACTTGTTTTGAATTTCTAGCTAGAAATAGAACTGCTCATCGCGATTTTCATAAGTTTGTTGGTTAATCAAAGTTGCGATTCGCTCCATCTTCCTTCTTTTGTGGTCATAGAGAGCACATTGACTACACATGACATGAATTGCTGCCATACCCTGTTGCACAGGGTCCCTTTCGACAAAATGTAATTGATCAGACACTGAATTACACACAGAGTTATTGTTGCTCTCGTGCAGAAGCAGTAGCATACGAATTGTAACAAGAAAATGTTTGAGAAAACATGTTTACAAATAAATTTTGTACACAACACTGTTCACAGAGTGATTTTGTACACACCATGCAAAAGCTGGTTGCAATCTTATCATGTTCAGAATGCAAGCCCATTAGGCTCCGAAATTAAAGTCACTTTTTTTTCAAGTCGATTTTTCGAAGACTCATGAAGTCGAGGTCCGCAATCTTCAGGCAACTTTATTATTTAAGGCACCGTCCACCCAAATTGAGGGTGGTGAAATGCTGAAGCAATGTAAGAGACGGCTCCTCGCTAACGCAACAGTTCAAGCTTGATTAAGAAAGGTGCATCCTAAAGCGAATAAAAAATGCTTCGGACGAGACTGAAAAAAAGGACGCGGTACTCTGACCACGCCTTCATTCGGTGGAATCCCGCCCATCCGTGCCTCGCCATCCAATGAACCGTTGCGGAACGGGAATTGTGGGGTTTTCGCGAATTCTCGACTTCATATTCGGAATCAGAGACATGAGAAGGTCCCGCAATCACAAAAACTATAGTCAAGGTTTCGGTTGCCTTTGAGTGGTTTGAGTGGTATGGGCTATGCCCGCAGCTACTTAACCTTTAATTCCTTTCTGTCATATGGAATAGTTTTTAACACAGAACTAATTCTTTCTTGTGACATCCTTTAGGATATTCGATTATACCTTGCTACCTGCTAGTTATCTTCCGATGCACGCGATTCATGTCGCCGAGTACCATTAATATGGTACGATTCTGTGTACTCGCTTAAGTAGATTCAGTGCTAAATTTGTGCATGCCCTCATAATAGACAGCTTGGACATTATCGCACGGTTGAATTTCATAGCGTGTGTATACAAACGTCTTGCACCTTTCAAAATCTTTTGCATACTTAGCACAAAATTTTACACATGAGCAATAACTGGCTGCACAGCATACTCTTCGCTTCAACCAGATTGGCGTCTGGAAGGCGGGGCTCGGGTGACCTAATTAAGACTAGAAAATGATCAGAGAGCCTGTTCGCAGAGCAGCGTCGCGGACGCGAGCAGTCGCCTCCTATGTTATGAAGCCGCACCTTCCAGCAGCCGATCTAGCTGTAGCAAAGAATACATTAATAGTCACACCAAGCAATGAAGAAAGAATGCGACTTGAAAGGGTAGTAAAAATTCGTGTGCAACGTCTAGTCATTCATAGATAAAGCCACGGAAGCACCCATTGATAGTAGGCTCGTAAGAGCCTCCATATTATGCCGCGTCCGTTATCTTGACGGTGTCGCATTTGATAGCATTCAGAAATAATCGATCCTTGCATACTATAGTCTTTATATTTTTCAATTTTCGCATGAAGTGTTCCTCTTTCTGATACTGCTCCTGTTCAGATACGCATAACTGTAGTCGCCTCAGTGAAAACCGTTGTTCATAGCTAGAAGTATAGGTATCGTGAAATGGTTATGCTTGGCGATGATTACGATTTTTTGTACAAAGGTATGAAAGTTACTTTTTGCAACGTCGGTGATGGAATGGCATTTGTGAAGGGAATTTTTGATGCTTAATGTCCAAATTTCAGTGATTCTCATTGGTGATTCTGGAATCGGAAAATCTAACCTCCTTTCTCGATTTGCAAGAAATACCTTTAGTGTTGAATCAAAGTCGACGATTGGAGTCGAATTTTCAACCAGAATAGTCTCAGTAGGTTATTTCTATTTTATAGTAGATGAGTTTTTAGTATACATCATTTCAAATCATTTTCTAGCATTTTTAGTATAATGCTTATAGACAAAGTGCAATACTCTTTATTTAAGTAAAAAGCTATCAGTGTCAAAACATCAAGAGTATTGGTTGAATGCATTTGATTCATTTCAATAAACAACTTACAGGTTGACGAAAAACGTGTAATGGCTCAGATTTGGGATACAGCCGGCCAGGAAAGATTCAAGACTGTTACTGGAGCATACTATAGGGGAGCGCAGGGAGCACTAATCGTCTATGATATCAGTGAGATTTTTTGCACAGATTCTTTTAGTTGCCAAATTCTATACTTTGATAAGCTCTATGATTATTCATAAGACTAGCTGGCGTAAATATGTTGGCTCCGCCCGATTGTCAAAACACTACAATAAGCCTCTATGCGTGTACAGCCCTTCTCCGTGCCCACTACCACACGCCGATTCCCTTGGCTTGGCTTTGGGAAGGCGGGGGTTCTTAACCTACTTAAAGGCAGTGTACAGGCAAGAACTCGATTTTGAGATTTTATGCTTACCCGGGCTATTTGGTATGCTGAATCCGATCTACTCTGGAGAGCGCGAAAACGCCAAAAACGGCTCTAATACTGGAGGGAAATCAGCAAGTGGGCGGGGTCTTCCCCACTGTGAATTTACGTCCAGCTTCGGAGGCGATCCTTTTCAATTCCGGTTTCAAGTCATTCGTTTGCACTTGATCGGAGTGATGTCAGGGCGGCTAACGGATTTGAGAAAACTTCTCTGGAAGCTGGAAGCGTGAATTCACAGTGGGGAAGACCCCCCCCCCCCACTTGCTGATTTCCCTCCAGTGTTAGACCCCTTTTTCGTCGTTTTCGCGCTCTCAAATGTGGATTTTCGGATTCAGCATAGCGAATAGGCTCGGGTAAGCACAAAATCTCAAAATCGAGTTTTTGCCCGGACACTGCCTTTAAGGCTAGATGCACCATTAGAGAACGCTCGCGCGAGAGAGACGCAGGTGCGTCGCGGGTGCGAGTGCCTTAATTGAGTCATAAAGCTCCGCCTTCCCGAAGCCAAGCCAGTTGAATCGTTACAACTTAAGGCAATCTTTGAGGCGGGCCACTACTGAAGAATCACTAATGTACGCTATCAACCTCTTTCCTAGACCAACGAAATTGTGCATCTTGCCAAGTTGCCAGCAGCATTACGTCATCTTAGTCTCCCGTAAATTACGAGCAACTTGCGGGGCTTTTTTTTACCCCTTCTTGCAAACAGGCTGTCGTAAGCCGAGCCGAAGCTGTTGGCTTATAAGGGAAGACTTTTTTGGTCGAAATGGCCTATATAAATGAGTTCTATACTACTTTGAAAGGACTGAACGCTAATTCCGCAATTATTTTTAATATAGGCTTCGGGCAGAGTTTACGCGATTTGATCGTCGCGATTCAATTGCGACAAGACAACTGTTACGAGTTCATTGCATGCCGACCGATTTGCATTCCGGTTGTGATACTTTTCCAGCCCTAGAATTTGAATATAAAATGAAAATGAATGGAAATCGCGGCGATTGAATCGCGACGATCAAATCGCGTGAACTCTGTCCGAGGCCTTAGGCACCCGTGGACGCCGAGTTATGAGCGTTTTTTGAGGCAGGAAAATAGGGCAGAATCTACGTAAAAACAATGGTTAAGATCTTTGAAGCTCAATAAAACATGGAGCACGAATGTATTAGACAGAAGCTATTCATAAATTGAAGTGTTCTGATGTTATATAGCTAACTATTTGAGAGTTTTCATTTTGTGTCAGTCGAATTCAACTTTTTAACTAGGGCCTTTTTTATCTCGGCCCCCAGAGGCGCTTGGCAGATAGGGGATACAGAGATTTGGAATTACTGTTCAATACTCTACAAAGTGATGTAGGTCACGTGGAAAGGCCACCCGACCAGAAAAAGGCTTTCCTTGTTAGATCATGAGCATCTGAAAGGTAATTCAGATGTTGGCTCACTTCTAACACACTTGAGCTAGAGTGTCAAACAGCGCACGGAATTCATCTGAAGGGGTCGTCATAGACAACTGAGCAAGGGCATTATTTTGAATGGTCGTGGCCGTTTATCCGCGTTCCTTCCTGCGTATCACTCTTTTGAAGAGAGTTATGGGCTCAAAAATCCCGTTTTTCGGCCTCTTTAAAGGCAGTGTTTCCAACTTTTCGGAGAGTTCTTCCCTTGAGGAACCTGTATCTGGGTGTTTCAGCGCATGAAAATGGCGAAAATGAGTTTCTTCCGAAGCTTATCAAGCGTGTAAGTGGGCGGGGTCCGAAACGAGGGAGGCGGGATGCGGAAGACTTTCGCCGCATTTTCGCTAAATGCGGACTTGGAAGGCATCGAAAAAGGCTCATTCTCGTCATTTACATGCGCCGAAAAGCTCAGATATGGGTTCCCATGGCGAGAAGGCTCTGAATAGGTGACAAACTGAACACGAAATCTCCAAGATACTGCCTTCAATTTCAAAGATTATATAGGGTAGTGTGGTGGTTAGCGTGCTGGAATTGGCGAGAGGTCAAGGGTTCGAATTTTGGAGAGGTCTTCATCAAGTGCAGATGTGCCAGAAAATTTTCTTATTAGGTCGAATATGCCGAAAATATCGCTGTAAGTGTCTGCGAACGGCTGCAAGTGCGTATCATAACTCAAGCTTGAAATAGAAAATGACCCACTCTTTATCATAGATGAACCACTGACCTCTCGCTTCTAATGCATGAGCACGATTACCACCACACGGGTGGGGGAACGAAAGCCGCCAGGTCCAGCCGCCTCCGCGGACTGCTGGTCCTGGAACGACATGCAACAACGCTGCGAAAGGACCAGCTGGCCGCGAAAGGCGGCTGGACCTGGCGGCTTTCGTTCCCCCACCCCCACCACACCATATCACCGCCAAACTAAATAGCAGCGCCCTCGAACTCAAGAAGCGCCCAAAAACGAGAATTTGAAACCTTCACGTCCTTCAGAAGAGCGTTACGCAGAAATGGATTGCAGATTTGGAGTTAGCGTTCAAAACTGCTTTAGTTGGCATCTCGTAGCGCCACGGGCCATTGAAATACTACCCTTGTGAGTAAACTCTACTACGAGCCTTTGTCTAATACACACCATCATAGTACCCGCGTCACTTCCACTCACGCTGGTGAATAATGACATGTTTATGATTGTCCCTAGTACCCAAAGTAAGCATCATGATTTGTAAGGCCTTGGCCATACCTCACTTGGTTTCAGTCACACGCGATCTGGCAACTGTCAGATACTTTTTAATCCAACATTGGCAGACCACAAATGCATAATGCAGCTTTCATAATTTAATGAAATCCTCTATGCTTTCTACTCAGCGCGTAGGATGAGAGTATAGCCAAATCGCTTCTAAACTAAATTGCCTGAGGTATGGCCAAGGCCTAATGTATAAGTAATGTAACCTCTGCGCTTTGCTGTGCCTGTATTTTTAGTTCTTCCCAAAAGAATTTCTGCATCAATCTTATCAGCAGATGAAATTTGATGATGATGTGAAATTTTCCATCTATCGGAGAATAGAAATAAGCAACAAATCAGTAAGTGGAAAAACCCCTACATGTCTAGTTGAAAGTAGTCTACTTACTCGCTACGCCTCAAAATAACTTGAAGATGTGTGTCTGTTTATAGCATAGTTACGCACCCCACAGACTGTATATCGCATTTTCTTAAATGGCATTTCCAAATTGCTGGATCGTGTTGTCTTCAGCGCCCATTTAATGTTAGCGTTTTTCAGCAAAGCCCAGTTCATTCGAATCATGTAGGCAGTGGTTGCGAGATTTACGCGAACAATCGGAGAACGTAACGGTAATGCTTGTCGGGAACAAGTCTGATCTGAGAAACCTACGTGAAGTCTCATCAGATGTAGCGAAAAAATTTGCAGAGGAGAATAACCTCACCTTTATTGGTTAGTCAATCCTGTAAACAAGCGTAGTATTTGCATTTGTATAACTGTTTGTTCCAGAGACCTCGGCTTTGGATAGCTCAAACGTTGAGAAGGCATTTACGCAGGTTCTCACAAAAATTTATCGAACAGGGATAGCAAATATTCGTAATAATGGTGTCGATGGAGTCAAGCTTTCAAGCGACGCATCACTGCCAGTTTCTAAGAAAGGTTGTTGCCGGTCCGCATAATAACTTCAAAAAAAGATTGAGATCTTATTAGGTTTGTGATGAAATTGTGGTACGTTCTCGTAATTTCACTATTTACTCTCAAATATAACACTGCAACAATTATGTACATATTGATGTAATTGCTAAATGGTTGAAAATAAAGACATCATTGCAGATGCGGAATTCTTCTTAATGCAGGATTACAGCTGACATTCAGGAAAACCTAAACTCAGAAAAAACATTTGAACATCAGCATGAACCGAAAACAAAACTCATAGAACTATAACCGAAGTGCGACCTACTTTGATATTTTTCGCAACTCTTTTTCAAGGTAGCCAAATTCATCCTTAAAACTTTTCTGAGCCCATGCATCAAGTTTCTTATACCTGACATTCAGCTGATAATGTTTGCAAACCATACTTAGTTTCTGTAGCATTTATATATGGAGGCAGGCAAGATATCCCTCCACAGCTATAGGTAAGAAAGCTGTCAAAAGTTGCTTTCGATATAGGAGGGTCAGAATCAGTCCTAGGAACAACTCATAGTATCTAACTTGTTTTACGTTTGAGAAGATTTGAACAGCTTTTGTAAATGGTCAATGTTTGCGCATTGTCTCATCTAAGCTATGGTAGAAACCAACAGAGAGATGCATGCTCAATGCGCAAATGGCTTTGCTGCTACGAATTGCTTCAAAGAATTTCTAATGCACTGCACCTCGTAAGGCAGATAGTTGAAGGACCCTAGTAGCAGCAGTGAAGAAGTTTCATCGCAAAACTTTGAGGACCTTATCTTTGTCTTAATGGCACCGCCTGAGAAACCCGCTTCCCGGATTCTTTGAAACGGGGGTATTTAGGGTTTTCACCAATTCTCGACTTTATATTCGGAATCAAATACATGAGAAAGCCCGCACGACAAAACCATGGAAGTCGAGAATCGGGTTGAACGGTTCTTTGAGCACCAAAATACAAACAGCACAGCAAAAACTCATTGACTCCATACAAGATGGGTAGGTGTGTTTGTGAAAAAGTAAGCCAACTGCACCTGATTGCTGGAACTACACCGCTGACCAACAACAGGCCATCTAAGCATCTAGCAGTAGTCTGGCAATGCTCTTCCAATGTTCGCACAATATAACAGTGTGCGCATTTGAGGTCGCAAAGGAAGGCGGTTGAGTGATAGCCGGATATCCGCTTGCAGTCGCTTTGGTTGATAACTAGCGAGGAGCAGGGTCAAGCGTGGGGTGCGGCCAGGGTTGAGCACGAGGTCAGGCACAAGTCGTTCAAACACGACCCCCCCCCCTTGTGGAAGCCCCTAAACGACCCCTCCGCTTCACCTCCATGTCGTCAGGGTGTTATCTTTTGAGGAAGACTGGCTTTCAATGCAGGTTTCTATTTCCTAACAGTCTGTATGCCCCGCTTTCTGCGACTACACAAATACACGCAACTTGACGGCAAGTTTCGGATCTCGATAGCCCTCTTTTCAGAGCTATAATTTTCACAGGGGTAGAGTGTTTGGCTTCAAACTTTCAATATAGCAAGAGGAGGCTTTGCGCTCAATACTCGTACCAAAAAGGGGCGATTTTTGAATGTTGAAGGCAAGTTGATGGGGTCAGGCGCAACCCCTCAAAAGCTCGGGCGGCCTGACCTTTTGAGGGGTTGCGCCTGACCCCATTAACTTTATTTCCGAAGAAGCTTCTCTACCCAAGTTTTATGTGATTCGCTAGCGCAACCCTCGAAGATTCAACAGTATGTGTTTGAGCTTGAGTCGACTTGTTTCGGCCTTGTGCTAATCCGAGAATTTGAGGCACTCAATGTGGAAAAGGTGTCGGTTGGAATCTTGGCAGCACTTTTTACTTCACTATTTGAAAGCGATATGAAGCCTGATTTGTAGCATAGACTTGTAGTGAACATTACTTTGTTGTGAGTATAGAAAAGCTTACATATTTCGCTTTTGAAACCAAGTTAATCATGTTTGAAAAACACATTTTTTGGACGCTGAAAAGTACTAGAAAATGCAGAGGCAATGGTTTGTAGAGCGCATAGAGGTAATTTGACATGCTGATTATGGAAAGGATTCAAAATTTCACACAGCAAGCTTTCTTGTCGACCTCATGATCTGTCAAGGTAAATATGAAGATTAAATGTTGGCTAACTTCGATTGTGAAAACAATCAGTATGGTGTTAACGACCGCCATTCCTTTGGGTAACTGCGATATCCACCGGACTAGCGCATTTCTTCTTCATCTTCGTAGTGTCTCCCCAAATGAACAAATTCGATTCTCAATTACCACCCCCCCCCCCTCCCTCAGTCTTACCGTCAATACGACCCCCCAGGTCGGGCGCGCCTGACCCCACGCTCAACCCTGGGTGCGGCACGCCACACCCGGGGGTCGTATTGAGGAGTCAAAAGGGGAGGGGGTCGTAGTTGGGTAATCTGATAATAATGATAACATGATATTTGTATCATACCCATAATTAGCATCAATTAACCCCTGTAGACAAAGTGTGAGCGAATTCTGAAGATTCAAGATACTAGGTTACCTAAATGAAATGGTCAAATTCCAACATGGTTAACTTTGTTTCAAAGGTGAATTAGCTATCCGTTTTTGCACTGAGGACAAAGCACTACTCCTTCTTTGTCCATCTCAGGAATCCCGCTTCAGAAGACCTGCAAACTGTGGAATTAGAAGCCAACCAAAATCTCGTTTTTCCCATTTTTCAAATTTGATCGCTGTGCTTTCACCAAATATTACTCAGAGCTAAGAAGACGAATTGGGCTCCAAACAGTCCTATGGAATCTACAAGGTTTAGGCTATCGATTCATATAAATACTGTCCGCTAAAAATGTTTTTTTGATATAGTTAATGGGGTGCGGCACACCCCCTTAACTTGCCTTCAAAATCCAGAAAGCGCTCCATTGCTGGTATGAGTATTGAGCACATAGCTTCTTCTTGCTACGCTGGAAATTTGGAGCCGATCGCCCCACCCATAATAAAATTATGGCCCTTTCAATATGCCCATTCAGATCAAAATCAGCCGTCAAATTACGTGTGATTGAAAAGTGCAGTCACAGAAAATCGGGCGTACAGCTCTCAGAAATCTGAAAACTCTACAAAAAAAGCTGGTGTCCTCCAGAATTTCACACTTTGAGGTCCAGAGGTTAAGAGGAGGAAGAAGGGGTCGTTTGAGGGCTTTCATGGGAGGGGGGGGGTTGTTCTCGAAAGACTTGTGCCTGACCTCTTTCTCAACTCTGGTAATGCTATCTTAGGTATATAGTTCAGGGGGGGGGGTCGTAACCAGCAATCGGGTGCCACACCCCTTGCTTGACCCTGGACCCTTGACTTCACTGAGGAGCTATACAGGCTTGAAGGCAGCATCCGCGCAAAAATTCGATTTTTAGAAAATCCACTTACCGGGAGTTATCCGCAACGCTGAATGCGAAACTCCACATTAGAAGGCGCGAACGGCGGGAACATGCGTTTTCCAAAGCCTTACAAATTAAAATTCGACTGTCCCCGCCAAGGCTGAGACGCAGAGTCGCTGCGGGACCCTACGATTTTGACTGTGGGGGCATGTATACTCTGCCGCATAGCAGGAACTCGAACAGGTCGGAGGACCCCGCTCCAAGGCGTAAGTTCCCCCGTTTCCTTCCCGATCGTTTTTCTTGCTTTGGGCCGAACGTTATAACTTCGTACTTGCGCGATGCTGTACCGAAGGGGGGCCATTTTCGCATGCTGAAATCCCAAAACCCCAGCCTTTTCCGGACAATGTCTTCAAAGGCTGCTGCATGCGTAGGCGCAAAAGCAGTATTAAGTGAGTGGGGCGAACGCTGCGCGCGCGTCTACTCAAAGTTGTAAATCCTGCGCCTCACTCTGCGGCCAATGAGACCGTACTCGCGTCCAAAAATATTGACCTTCGTCATGCAGCAGCTTATACTTGCGTTGCGCTACGAAGTCTCAATTTCCTGCCGATTCACACACTCTCAGGTGCGAAAAAACCTGCGTCGCAATTCTGATGGCACAGCCAATACCAATAACTGTGGAATATGTGCACTGACACGACGAGTCAGTAAATCAGGTATTCACTAGCAAATCAGTCAAAATTTAAAAAAACAAAAGTCAAATCTTTTCCTTCTTTTCTTAACAACTAATCATTTTGAGTTCCAACAATCGTTGAATCTTTTCCTTCTTTTTTTGACAAATATCATTTTGAGTTCCAACAATCGTTAAATCTCTTTCTTCTTTTCTTGACAATTACTCATTTTGAGTTCCAACGATCTTCAAAGATTAGTTTAATGCGTTTCAACTCTGGTGAGATTTATTGGTTTGAACTGTTTCTCCCGCTTCCCGAAAAACTGAATGTCTTCTAAAAATTCCGGCTTCTTCATTCACAAATTGAACATGATGATCAGAGCATGACAATATCTCGTGTCTTTTCGTAATAATTAGGCATGAACTCTAAATGATATTACATGATTTTGCCATTCAAAGCCAGTCTCCCTCACAGGGTAACTAGCTAGTAAATTGAACAAAGAGCAGAGGAGCTGCATCAAAACGACCTAACTTTTTATTCTTCACTATGCGTGTTTTCGCTACCTTCTTAGGTTTAAGACGATTTGAATTTTTTTCAAACCTAGATTTTATTTGGAATGAATCATTTTACCATAACCGAATACTATCTCAAAAATCACATTTCTGACACATCAATATTCGAATATTTGAATTCAAATACCCCAATTCCAAGCGTACAAAATCCACTTTTTTCTGTTTTTCAAGCATGCCGCTCAGCCGTCTTGTTGTGCTTCGGAAAACGAGACTCACTCTCACGATAACCTTAGGCAATATGCAGCACTATAAATAGTTTTTAAATCGCGAAGTCCTTCGGCGTGTCTGTGCTAATCGACTCTAGAAAAAATCCCCCGCGTTCTATATGCGTGAAATCAGGGTGATTTGAAAAAGTCGCATGTTCCAATCGCTCAAGTATTTCTAACCATTTTTCTAGATCTGTTCGTCTGAATGTTCT